TTCATAGTTTTAAATTTTTATGTTAATGTTCTGTTAGGTGTCACATTTGGCTTTCATGTGGTTCATATTAAGAACCATGCATGACTATTGATAAGTCTGTTTTGCATTCTTTTTTTACTCTTCAACTTTACCAATAAATTATTGCTTTCTGCAGCCTCTTTACTTTTTATGTCGATTTGGCTTGACATTCTTTACGCGAGCATATCAGCTTGTAAAGGGTTAAGATTAATCATTCACATAATCTTTCTAAAGCATGAGGTTCTTACATATTATTTTAGTCTAATAATCTCTTCTACTTGCTACAGGAGAAGTGAGAGGTGGGAAATTCATTGACTGATGTCAATGTTTCAGAATACATTTATGAATTTTTGTTTAATTTTATGTTTCAGGTGTGGGAGTGCCTTCTGTTACAACTGTGGGATTCCTAACTCATCTAATCTCCATTATTGCTCCTCCTGTAGAAGATAATATTATTACGGCAGCAAGGAAGTTTCAAACGTACCATCTCATGGAAGCTAATCTAAATTCTTCTCTAATACTTCTCACCTACTGACTTCATTATATATAAATTAATATTATTATGTACAGCTTATTATTATATAACTTTTTAAAAATGTTAGAACACAATGTCCATATGTTTTCAGTGTGACTTTATGAATGCATGAGACCTATGAATCTTTGACAGCTCTAAGGTTCATTTCCTTCTATTTATTTATTGTGTCTAATTAGTTTCAATAGGGCAGAGTTTGTTTAGGATGTACATGAAAAAAAAAAATAATGAAAACATTAGTTGTTAAAAGTACCTAACAAGCTGAATATGAAGTAGTTCTTCCTTTGAATTTAAAAAATACCCAACAGAGTGATAGCTTTTGAAATAGTCTGTGTTTGGGAGATGTAATTGGATCTTTCTTCTGAGTCACAAGTATTTTTATAAATTTAATAGAATTATTTTAAAACTTCGATTGGAATTGTAATGTGTTCAAACTTACTTTATATTACCACAGATCTTTATTGGAAACATGTGAAAAGGGGAAGGAATTAATTTTGGATTTAGAACAAACAAATCCCTCCATTAATTTTGTGTAACCTACTAGTTGCATTGCTAAATAATATAACATTATGACTAAAACTAACAGTCTAGCTGTCTAGCTTTTGTTCGAAGCCAAATTTTAGTTTGATTAAAAAAATAATTTTCGACTTAGTTTGAGCAGTATTAAATGAATGTATTATTCTAATTGAATTTATTTAACTGAATGTTAGCTACTGAAGTTGGAATTTATTATTTCTGTTCATTTTTACAGTATAGGGGAGAAAGTATATATCATATACATGTTAAATAAAACATCAAATACATGATAAACTATAACAAGAAAATATTGAAAATAAAATTCTAAAACTATAGGCACATTGATGTATGAGTGAAAAAGTACTTTTCTTGGGGACTGTGAATTTTATTTCTCATCTTGAATCATAGAATTCAAGTAAATTTGTATTGTATATGGAGATGAGTGGGCTTTTACCTGTTACTCATCTAAAGATTGTAGAAAAGTAGAATCATTTGTACTTGTCCTGTCGGTTTTCAGAAAACAATTGGGACCACATTTTGAGAATTATTCGAAGAGGCACTATCTAGGGTGGAAGAACTCTGTGTGTACATTTGTTGTTTTTATGCTTTGGTTCTTTGAGAGGGTTAAGTGTAAGGTTCAATTGGCACTATCAGACAGTTCAAGGATTGTATTTTTGCTTCTTTCATGTTAAAAATATCTTGCAATTAAACGGGATTATTCTTAGTCTTAATAAATGTTGGATCTATTTAGAATTTGAAAATCACTTATAGTATCAATAATATTATATATGAAGAAATATAAATGGATATGAGATTTAAATAATGATATTATCAAGAGTTAACTTTAATACTTGAAAAATTGAAAAATATAAATTCTTACGTGTAGATCTGATAATAAATAAGAAAAGGTAGAAATATAAGTACCACAAATAAGGTTTGATAAATTTTAGGATTGTAAAAAAAAATACAAATTATTAAATAGATCAAAATAATTCAAAAAAAATCCTAACACAGAATTTCACTCATTTCATTTAAGCAAATAATACATGTGAGTAACACATCCACATGTTGGGCCTCATTATGTAAATACACCATTATTATATTAACCATCATCTTTTACAAAGTTTCATGAACCAATTTTGCTCTTGCTTTTGCCACGGATTCTCCTAAGTCTTGTATTGAGTCATGGACGTCTTTTTGATCTTGAGTATGGACTAGAGATCACTCACATTAAAAGTATTACATCATACTTATTCTGTAAATCTAGTTTGTAAGGATTATCATTTATCTTGGTCAATACTTGAAATAGACCATTCCTTCTTGCCATAAGCTTAGACTTTCTTTGTGTTGTAAATCTCTCTTTTCTGAAATGCACTCATACTCAATCACTTGGTTCAAATATAATTTTTTTCTTTCTTTGTTGGCATATTTTGCATACTCTTCTATTTTCTTCTTAATTTGGGCCTTGACTTTCTCATGTAACTTCTTGACATATTTTGCTTTATCCTACCCATACTAATCCTTATATTGAAAAATGTTAGGTAATGGTAACAAATCCAAAGGAGTTAAAGGATTAAAACTATAAACAATTTCAAATTGTGATAATTGAATACCATTATTTACAGTCTTGTTGTAAGCAAATTCAACATGTAATAAACGCATTTTCCAAGTTCTAATATTTTTCTTAATTATAGCTCTAAGAAAAGTAAAAATGATTCTATTCACCACCTAATTTTGTTCATGTGTCTGGGGATGACAAGTTGTTGAAAATGATAATTTAGTTTTAATCTTATCTGACAAAGTTCTTCAGAAGTGACTAAGAAACTTATAATCTATGTCACTCACAATACTTTAGGCAAGTCGTGCAATCTTACCATTTATTTAACAATAAGTCAACAACATGTCATACATCATCTACTTTGTTGCAAGATATAACATAAGTTATCTTAGAAAATCTATCAACCACCACAAAAATTGAATCTTTTCTTCTTTTAAGGCAAACCTAAAAAAAAGTTCATAAAAATATCAATCCAAAGATGTTTGAGATCAGGGAGTATATAAACCATATGACATATGACTTTAGATTTTTCTTTCTTACAAACAATACACTTATCATAAAATGTATGAACATCATGTTTCATATAAAGCTAATAAAAATGTTCGTGCAAGATGTCATATGTCGTTTGCACCCCAAAATGACACATTTATCTCCCGTTTTAACAAGAATTCTCTTAATTGTACCCTTAGGAATGCAAAGTCTCTTGTCCTTAAAATACCTATCATGTTTATAATATCCCTCTGATGCAGTATGAGAATGTGTATGATAGATATGAGAAATCATTATCATGTTCATATAATTCCTTAATGCACTAAAAACCAATAAATTTAGTTTTAGTAGATAGTAAAACATACGTGATAAAGCATCAACAAAAATATTGGACTTACTTCTCTTATTTTTTATGACATAGAGAAATTGTTTGAGGAACTCCACCTACTTGGAAAGAAAACTTTTATTTATTAACCTAAATAAATAAACTTTTATACATATGATGGAAAGAAAACAATTTTATTCAACAAATTTTAAAATAACAATTATTTTTAAAAGGACAGTGAACAATAATTATATTATAAAAGATAAAGTAGAAAAAAAAACAGATACAACAACTATATTATAAGAGATAAAATAGATAAAATAGGCATATGAAGTGTGTAAAAGAAATAATAATCTTCTTTTTATGAATTATATAAAAAAATGTTCTCTATATACCATTATAGATTTATTGATATTAATTAATGAAATTTTATTTGTCTATTAAAGAAAACCGTTTAATTTTAAATAAAAAATATTATTTTATATAATAAGAGGTGTCATGCACAATTATCAAGTTTATACTTTGAAATTTTTTATAAATTTATTTATTAATCTTCAAAATTTGGAATGATCCCACTTTTTATTTCTCAAACTAGAAAGAAAATAGTCCCAAATTTAGAAGTTTGAAAAACTAACTAAATAGTTAATGTATGATATTACACATTTATCCAAAATCACTTGTCAATGTTAATACTTATAGTATTTAAAAAATCTATATCTAACTTCAAAAACAACTTCTGTCAGAGACCAAATAAATTATGTGAACTGAACCTGTTAGTGTCACCATTTTAACATGTCAGCAAGTTGGTAGTATTCACCTCAATTAATATATTGTGTTAGGAAATGCTAAATCATAATTTCTTACAGCTCTTTAAAATGAATCATATTTCTTTTCTTCCTGCATTACAAAAATTTTAATTTAAAAAAATATACATTTTTTTTATAAAAACAAAAGTTTAATATATGACTATTTGATTAATATTTATCTCTGATGATAGGAATTCATTTATATATATATATATATATATATATATATATATATAGAAGATATGCATTGTAAAGAAATAGAAAGAAATAAAGTAAAAATAAAGACTATTTGATTAAAAAAAAATAAAGAATACATAGTCATGTTTAAGATTATTTATTTTAAAAATAAAGTACAATTATTTTTATTGTTATTACTATTATTTTATCATTACTACGAAGGAGTTATTTATTCTTCATCGACTTTTTTTAGACTCAATTTTTTTAGTATTTACTCATGTTCCCATGTCTTAAATTTTACTTCTTCTTTTTAATGAATCTATTTTATTCATTTTTCTTTTAATCCAGTCTGGTTTAGAATATCATGGTGATACAATCAGAACTAATTTGTTTCCTTTTTTTTCTTTTTTAGAATGAAAAATATAAAATACTTCACTGACTTAGTTTTGATAAAATCAAGAAATTATTGATGAAATATAAAAACAAATAATGACTTCATATGGATAAAGAGATTTATCTTTTATGGAAAAATTTTGTTCCATCAGTATATTGTCTCATCATAGTAAAGAAATGTGCAAATTTAAAAAATAATAATAATAATCATTGCAATGAATTCCTAACTGTTCCCAATATGTATGAAGACACTCATTCTTTCTAAGCATGGGTACCTTTGAGGAAAAAAAAAACTCTAAAGCTTTAACATAACTGAAACCATTTCAGTCCTTAGAACCTACTCTTACCAATTGAGAGACACAAGTCTGAGCATCATGTGCTCTGAGAAATCTATCTAAACACTTGTCATGTACACTTTGTTCTGGGAAAGAGACAACATTTGACCTGTTAATAACCATTTGCAGTTTTTTGAGATTTTTTACTGAACTTTAATGCACTGCAGCGTGGACAAACGTATTCCAGTCCATCGGTTTTTGCATAGTCCTGCCACATTCAATGTATACTGATCAGAAATAATGATAAACTTTGCACATCATCTTCATTCAATTATAATCTGAGACTGTACACAAAATATGCAGACAATGAATCAGATTGGATACCATCTGGTAAATGGAAATTTTTTTTACTTGAACATATTTTTTTATGGATTAAAATTTATTTGAAACTTCAATCATAAGAGTTAGTTTCTTCCAAATCAAACAAACTCAGTCAAAAGCAGTCGTGCAAACATTTGTTGCAACTTGACCTTGTATGGTCGGTGTACATGGTAAAATTTCAACCAAAGATTGAGTAGTGTAGTCTATAAAGAGCAGGTCTCCAAGCTTTAAACAATACAACCTGCTCCATTGCAATTTTTCATCCCACCCAAAAGGAGCAATAAAAACAAATATAAAACAGAAAAGACTCACCTACATCAATATGCTGTTTTAAATTGTTAAGGATCCAAAAAACTAAATGAAAAAAGTATCTTTGAAGGGCTTTTACTAGCCATGCATGTACTTGAACTTTACACACCACAGTAAAAAATTAGTAATACCTTAAATGCTCCTAGTCCCTGCCGCCGATCACAGCCAAAATGAGCCCACTCACCACATACGCCACAGTTCACCCAATCACCTGCTGCACTACTGTTGCTCCAACAAGAAAGGTAAACATAATAGTCAATAAGACAGAACTTGGTCACCTCCACATCCAAGATAGGTACAAAGAGAGAGCAGAGAGGCAAACCTGTGACACATCAAGCAGCACTCTCCATCTACATCGTCATGAGCTAATTCATATTCTAAGAGATAAGTTTCGTAATGTCTTTTGAGTGTATTGCCAACCCCCTGATAGCAAAGGAAATAATTAATGTCTCCAATAATGCATGGAATGTGGATCTAAAATATCATTCCTATGTTTCAAACCAAATAAATCAGTGTAATGCATAAAGTAAGTGTTTGTAGTACAAGGAAACTGTTATATATCCCTTTTATTCATATAGTTCTATAAACTTGACATCAAATTGTCCACAAAGCAATTTTCTTATTTTCTTATACACATTGTAAAACTGAAATAAATGCAATTCAAATTTCACTGTGCTGCAAATGGCAGGAGTCACATACTACGGTTTTTGGAAGTATGGGATTCTGTTGTGGGGTGTATAAGGTTCTGCAGTCTACAATACCTAGTTCTGTGGCATGGATCTCCTGAGTTTCTTATCAATGGCACTCACTAGTGCATGAATACAACAATTGCTGCCCATAAGTTATGGGAGAACATAAATGCAAAAGAAAAAATGAGAATAGAAATTTGAACTCCTAAAACTAGAGAAAGAGAAATCAAGTGAAAAAGGGGGTCTTTGTCATATACAGTAATGACCTAAATATTTTTTTTCTTTTAAAAGGTAGCCGATGCCGCAGTTCTCAAATAAGATAAACTGAATGAAATATATATCATATTAGAAACATTCATCTCAACCAAAACTGCAAGATTCATGATAAGGAAGGGAATGCTAAAGTTCACACCTACGGAATTTATAATACATTTCATCTAAGATAAACAACTGAATGCTTTATATTAACAAAATATACCATATCAGGAACATTCATCTAAAAAATAACTGCAAGATGCCTGATAAGGAAAGGATTTTTTAAAGGTTCATTCCTATAGAAAAATCTAAAATATACTATCACCTAGCAAGAGGGGAATGATCTGCACTTTAGTAAAACTGTAGGCCAAATTTATGAAACTGTTCATAGGCATGCAATGCAAGGAAATGTCATGTTAAAGGAAAGACAAAAGTAAATCAGGATCCTTACAGTCATTCTATTTGTCAAAGTGTGATTCCGCATCTTTGAGAAAACTTGCCCTTTCCAGTTGATACCATTTCCAACATGAAAACCTCCTCTTGAAACCACCTGAAATGCCCAAGTGTCTCAGTTACAGTTTTTGCTTTCTACACTATAATCATGTACTATACATTTAGCTTTACGTATTCAAATCTCCTACCTCCCTGTACAAGTTGAACAGGTCAAGGCGTTTTGCATTCAAAATGGCATCAGGGAACTCGGCAAGTCCACCTGGTGGAATTAGACGATTATGCCCCCGAAGGATCAAAAACTGCATTACATCCCTCAGGAAGTCCTCCTATCAGAAAATGCATCAAGGAGAAACAAGACAGAGAAACTTGGGATTTAGATTTGACATAAAATGCACTGATAATTTGATAATACAACATTTGATGTCAAAGCCAAGAAACCAATGAAAGTAGCAAAGGTCGACAAGAAAAAATGTGTAAACCACCTCTGAGCAAACTCGTATTGGAGCTCTGTCACAACCATGCTTTTTCATAGGTAGTGGGTTCAAAGAAATAATCTGGTTAGCTTGAAATGAGTTCGACACAGATTTCCTGTTTGTAACTGAAGTAGGGCCTGAAACATTATGCTTAATAGGAGCAAGCGGCTGATTTGACTTTCCATGGTCTCCGTCATATCTTGCACCCCCAGACAATCCAGAAAAAGGGAGAATCTTGTGTCTATGAGATTGAGGGATTGGCCTCATAGCAGCAAGATTTAATTTCTGTCTATGACTACCAAGATCTTCAATTCCCCGGCCACTAGGATTGATAGACTTTGAACTAGAGCATGGTTCAGATCTTTTTCGACTGGGCGGTGGAGGCTTCAGCCAACTTGGAATCGCAGAGAAAACTTGCTCGTTACGACAGTTTTCTTTCTCCTGCTTAGTACAAAAAAAAAGGAGACGCTCAGCATCATCTTTATTAAAAGATGCAACTGGCAATCCCTGAATGCTAGCAATTCCCAACATAACAAGGCTGCGGTATGACACATTGGATGCAAGCTGTCTCAGAACCTGTGCACGAATATACAAAACCATCAATCAAAACATAAGGTTTCATTATTCTAAAAGAAAAAAGAAACTATGTCCAAATTTCAGAGTAGCCAAGTCATCATATCTAAACAAACTGAAACAAAAACCTCCATCTAAACCCCTTGATTGTTTATATATAATTTTTAAGGGCCATAAATTATACTTTAGAAAGCTTTAACTGACAGAAGGAATCTTAAGAAACAAAGTTTAACCTGTGAAGCCCATGCAGGAACTCGCATACAAACTTCAAACACACTAGATCCACAGGCTACTGAGGCTGATCTTCGAGGCTCTAAGGAAGGTGATTTACTTTGTTCATGATTAGGAAATGCCTGAACAAGTTGACTCTTCTCAATGAGCTCTTTCTTAATATGATTCTCCAAAAGCTGAGCATACAAAAATAGAGGAGAGAAAAAAGTGATGGATAAGTAAAAAGGTTTTAAAGAGCATATATGAAAAAAAGTCAAACAGTGACAGCAAATTCACTCGTGCCTGATCATTAAAACAAGTGTCTGCACTACCAGAAACCAAAAGTGATATATGAGCAGTACTACATGTGGATATATCACAACGCATAGTCACTACACCACGTGAGAAAGTTCCTGCCTGCAGAGGTGGTGGTGGAGCACTATAAAATATACAACAGTGAAAGAAATTAATAAACTGAATAAGATGCTAATAAAAGACAAAAATTAAAAGCAAAACATTACTTCTAAGCTTAAGATTAGTACTCCTAAAATTAATTGAGTGCGGATGTGTTTGACACTCAAAAAAAATCCCAGACATCCAAAAAAAATCATATTTTCCACCAAACGCTAGAAGATGACGTAGAAAAACATGTATCAACTCTTAGAAGTCAGAACCTTCAAAATACCTAGTCCTGTTGTGAAGTTTGCATCCACGTATCTGAGAAACAAAAAAAATATACATCAGTAATAAAACAATTCAATGAAACACTAATAGTAACTAAAAAATAGTAAATCTCCCATTCTAGTCCCTGAGATGGTAAATCTGTCATTTTAGTGCTTAACATCACATAGTCCTCATTTAAGTTTTTTACTCTGTATAAATTCATTCGTTTTAGTCTTTTTCCATTGTCAATGGCAATTAGACTTGGTAACTTAGTTTTTGATGAGGATTACTTCGGGTTTGTTAATGATGAACCTGACCCGTGTAAGAACTAAATGGTGGTTGCTTTGATCTGAAATTATCTATGCATATCCCTTAAGTATTGTGTGGATTACATAGTCTAAACAAGGTGAAAAATGCCATAAGATTTATCTACTTTCATTGATATGCAGTATGCTTCACATGTCATATAAAACTATATTCAAAACCACATTCATTACAACATTGGTAAAGGGAAACAAGCGGAATTTCACCACAACTAAGCCTATATTAATTACTTAAATTGATTGAAGGGCCAACATGCCATGTCATATCGAATAGTAAGAAAAAATATGATCTAGCACCCAGAAAGCAATAGTAGCTAAACCAAGAAATCCAAGTAAACACACGCAACAAACTTACTTCTGTAAATAGAAGAGCATTGAGTCCATCCTCTAATGATCCCAACAAGCAAGCATCCTTTTTGGAGAGGAGGGAGTAAAAGAAATGGAATCAGTTTATAGCAGCCAAATCACATAAATAGAACTACTTGCAATAACAAACTTAATGAATATGAAATAAATAAGCTATACAGGCCTACCAATGTGCAGGGAACTCCACAAACAAGAAATCTCATGTTCACATCATCATCATATATCTTTACAGCAGATATAGTCTCAGGTGAACTTTCCTCTTCCTCTTCCTTCATGTCTGCTACACTTTGACTGGTATCAATGTTGGGAGGAACCCCAAAAATTTGTGGCCCAAACTTACCGGCACCCTTATGGCTGTTAGAAGGTAAGACATTGTTTTGTATACAGTATAGTCTAAACGATGCCAGAGCAAGCTGGAAAGCATCCCATGTATGGCTGGATGTACTACAAAACATAATATCAACCATCAGAAACACAATGTAAAGGGATACATGCATGTTATAGTGATTAGTCAAGTAATTTCTAACCAATACCAAAGTAAATAATAAAAGTAAAATAAAAAAACTGCATCCAATTGTTGGAACTTGCTACATTCTCAATACATACCAAAAAACAAAAAATCAAAACATTTTCTTGTTACCGTGTCTAATGTCTACTTCATTGGGAGAAGCCAAAATTAGTCAATGAGAAGAGTGATTACAGTCATTAAACCCATTTCTATCCAAGAAAAGACAAAAGCACAACCAGGAATTGTTATATATGTTAAGCATGACACCCAAGATGATAGACGGCCATACCTCTGTGCTACAGAGAAAAAAGAATGACGAAAATGTGAAGCTGCATACTTTGAAAAATCATTTTTCCAATAGATAGTATATGGAACTCCCTGCCAAACAAAAAACCTTTATTCAACATAAAAATCAATATATTGGATTGTCACATCTTTAACGTCCTCATTAACAATAAAGCCAGCTAGTCTAATCCAAAATTACTAGTTTCGCAATTATCAATACAAGGTATTGGATACATTAACAATAAAAGAACTTCAAATAATTAAAAATAATATGATTAATAAGCAAATTTGGGAGTACTGGTTCCATAATATACCCAATCGGCCATTTTCTGTTTTGTAGGGATAACTAGTGAATTATGAAAGTATATATTGCTTTAATCACCACTTCATTAATTACTTTAAACCGGAAAACTTCAGTTTTCATATCTAACCTGATTTAAAATAAATAATACCTTATTACGGAGTGCCTCCGCCAATTTCTCTCCCTTAGGAGTTTCCAAATAAACCTGCAAAATATCTTGGAATATTGAACATCAAACAATACACTATCTGTGTCAAACAATCAGAGAACAAAATCATACACAGAACACTCACGGTATTAGGTAATTTGGAACCAAATAATCCACACAATGCTTCTGGGGAAGACAGGTCAAAATCCTCCCATACAAGGGTCCCAATTTCTCCCCTATCTTCTAGCAGCTGACCTTGCAGGTAAACAAAATCCGGTTGCAGTTGTTCAAGAGCCCGACCGAGTTCATCGGTATTAGGTTTGATCAACAACTTGACCTAAATTCACACACAAGATTAAAATTCAACTTCAGAATATTTTGTTCTCTTCCAACCAACAGAAAACAAAATAAAACAAAAATTTGCATAAATAGAAACTAAGTGGTCACCTCAAGACTGCCAGAAGAAGCAAGCTCTGGAAAGGGATAAGGAGGATGATCCTCAGAAGCAGCACTCTGCTTCTGCTTCTGTTTAATGTCACGTGATTTACCACTAAGAACAGCAAGGAGACTACAATGTCTTGACACACCCTGAGAATGGAACATCATGTGTAACCAAACGCCTCCAAATACATATATAGAAAAAAGACACCACCACCACCACCACTTGTCACAACTAACAAAACACTACTACAACAGCTTCTACTCTCGCCACCCCAATGCCTCCTAACGGTTCTACAAGATAGCAAATCCAACCCAGAAAGAAGATAGGAATGAAGGTTTTAGCTTTGTCCCGTAGGAATTGGGAACAGCAACACAACTCTGAGATTGAAGAAAAGGGAACGACCCAGATCATAAAGAGGCGAGAATCAGCAACCCAATTGGTCAAATTCCGAACTTGGCGAAGAATTCAGGACAAAAATCCACACCCAAAATCGAATCAATGTCAATAAAGTCAAGAAAGAAAGTAAATTGGGAACCCTACAAATAAACCTCCCCAATCGCTCTATCATCCACCAAACCGAAAGCCCATTTATAAATTCAAATATTACTAAAAGTATTTAATTGGGAAAAAATATTAAATCAAAATCAAAGACCTTTTTGTGTCTCGGCACAGTCCCAAACTCTCCACACCACAACACCAATTGGGTCAGTCAAAGTAAACCATTAACTGAACAAATATTACCATTCCAATAACTATACAAACATTAAATTCGCCCCCTTTATGTACGATCCTAATTAGATTAACCTTTTGACGATTCAAATACAATAAATCCAAGGAAAATAGAATAAGGGGTCGCCAAAATGATAAAGTTTGTTATTATCATTATAAAATAAAAGGAACAGGAAATGTCTTTCACACATGATTCGATAACTTTTGAAAACGTAGGACGATAGAGATGACGATGCCAATGGCATAGGATATTATAATTACTCAAACCAACAGGATGCACAACTTGGTTTGTTTTATCTTCTGGTTCAAAGAACTGAATTATGTTATGTGCTTACACACGCGCACACGCTCTTCAAAACAACAACATCCAACCTCTGCTGCTTTCTTAATTCCTTTTCTCTTTCTCTTCCTGCTTCTTTCTCCCTCACTCACTCTCTCTCCTGATTCTCTCTCAGCTTAATCTTTATTCTCGTACTGTTGGTTGGTACTTTGACGCGGACACGACATACCAAAAAGTACAAGGAAATAATCTCGGAGGACAAAATAGACAAAAACGAAAAGTTGTTCAGTTGTTGTAAGCATTACTAATCTAAAAGCTTTTTACTCAATACGATACAAATTGAAAATTGTTGAACAATTTGTTGCAGTTAAAATAGTTGGTTCAACTAACTTGTAATAAACTGGGTACACCTTATGTGGAAAATTCTTCTTCTTACACTTCTATTTGTTGTTTTTTTCACTTTTTTAAATCAATTACTTCTGAGAAAGCTTAAAAATTGCTAAGATTTTTTTTGGTTATTCCTCAGCATCCAACAAATTTCAGTAAACTTCCATGTTTGTTATTAACAAAACAGATAAAAAGGATTTAAGAATAGACAAGGCAGAAGCTCTACCCAAATGTGTGTTTGAATACATAATATTTGGATGTGTTACGGGATGCATTTGAAGGAGTGAAAATGAATAGATTTAAAGAGAAAGTAAAATTATTTTAATTGAGAGAAAGATGACGAGAAATAAAAAAAAAAGTTATTAAATTTTATGAATGATTTGATACATATGATAAATAAAATCTTTTTTATAAAATTAATTATTTAGATATATATTTTAAATTAATTATTAAATATTACATTATATGTATTATTGTAATATTATTTATTATATTATAAATCTGAAATAAATGTTTTATCCAAATCTTAAAATAAAAAAAATATTAAAAGCATCAAAATTTTTATTAATATAATTTAAGTATTTAGTATATTAGAATAAAGAATAAATATTTTATTATATTTTATTCAATTTTAATTAGTTTTATTTATTTGTTTAATTAATTATGATAGTTTTTAAATACAAATTATTATAAAAATTAAGAAAGCAACTTTCCTGCTTTTCTTCGCATATAACAGCGGAAAGATGACTGTTTTTTTTTTCCTTTTTTGCAATTTAATGTATCGTCTTTCGAAAAATCATCGCATTTTTTTGTTTCTTCACCTTTCCTCTCTGATCCGAAAACTTTCTTAATAGTCAATTGGCCTGAACTTAAATATTTAAGTTTAGGTTTAATTGCTTCCTTTGTCCCAGTTTGGTTGAATTGTGTCAAATTCATCCTCATTTTTAAAAAAGTTTCATTGTCGTCCTCACGTGTATAAAAGTTTCAATTGAATCCAAACATAGAAAAAATTTGTGTCAAAGTAGTCATTTTTCCTATATCTCTGTGTCTTCCTTTCATATGTCACTTCTCTGGAGCTATGAAAAGCCTTAAATTGGATAAGGTAAAATGAATATCTGTACTTGATTGTATGAAAGGAAGACACAGATATATAGGAAAAATGACTACTTTGACACAAATTTTTTCTATGTTTGGATTCAATTGACACTTTTACACCACGTGAGGACGACAATGAAACTTTTACACCACGTGAGGATGACAATGAAACTTTTTTAAAAATGAGGATGAATTTGACACAATTCAACCAAACTGGGGACAAAGGAAGCAATTAAACCTTAAGTTTATCCTCTTTGTGTGATGATATATTCTCAAATTATAACCTTTTGAAAATTACTTGTTAAAATGTTAGTAATTGATTTGAATGTAATTATTATTATTATTAGTTTTTTTTGTAATGATCATTGAGACGAATCAATATTAATAAAACATGAGTCTTAACACACACAATTAACGTTATCTTTAATTCAAAATTTTAAGAAGATAAATTTATGGTTTTTCATTTTTACATGATGTATTTTTACATTATGTTTAACTTTTTCATTTTTTTCATTAGTGAGATTTAGAATCATTTGGATTTTCAATAATTTCTCTCTCATGTGTTAGTTTCTTCACATTGGTATTTTTCTCTTTAAGTTAATCAAGAATATTTCTTCTTATATTGTCGTTCGTTTTAATGGATTATGTTTAGTGGAGTTTTCATTAATAAGATTTTTAATGTAATGATTTGTTTGAGTCGATGACCAAAATTAACCATCAATTTTGATATCACTACTAATCTTTTAAAAGGATCATCGATAAGAGTCAACATAAGACACGAGCACAATCCTTAAAAGAATATTAACACCATGTTCAACCAAAAAATCTTAAACAAATAGATTTATAAGTCCAAAATTGCCTCAAGAATAAAACAAATAGAATATTCAGCTTCTAAGAGGAAAGGCCTAAAAAAATTAGTACCAATATCTCTTTATTAAATTATTTATAGAATCCTGTTTAAGAAAAAATACCTCAAAAAATTTTAGTATTAATATACCTCTATTAAATTAATTATAAAATTATTTTTAAGAAAAAAAATGTCAAATGTTTTTAATACTAATATATCTCTGTTAAATTAACTGTAAGTTTATGTTTGAGAATAAAATTTAATTAAATTATTATTCTATTTGATCCTTTAAGTTTCAAGAAAACTTATATTAATGAGAGATTTTAGTAGATTAGATTTCACGGTTTTTTTTTTATTAAGGATTTTTTACTTTAAAAAGTTTTAATGTTTATTTTATCATCTTAATTTAATGCATCTCATTATTCCGTGTATTATTTAAATATGAAAGAATTAATATTGCTTTGAGTTATTTACTATTTTTATTATCTTTTCAACAATTATTCTTATCATTAATAAAGTTCGAAGAGAATTAATTATTTTTTAAGAGATTTTGAAATAATTAAAAATAGATTTGAAAATAAAATTTATAAAAATATTATAGAATATTACTGATGTGACAGATAAAAAAATAATTTAATTAGTATAAATTAAAGATTACTAAAACGTACTTAATAATAAAAGTAACATGATAATTATTAATAATATATATAATTGTAAAAGTTATTATAAGAAAAAAAATTAAATGAAAAAAAATTAAATGAAAAAAAATTGTATTTAAATAAACAGAAATGGAGTTGCCATTAGAATTGGAGTTGTCATTAGAATAGAATAAAGAAGCTTGGAATTGATTAGGCCTACCATTGAAATCGAATAAAAAAGCTTGGAATCGATTACACCTATTTTGGAACCAAATACGACATGTTTGTAACCAAATACGACTTCTTTATGATTTTTCTATATAAGGTGGAACTAATTCCTTCTCCCTTGAAATTGAATACGAGTTGGGTCTTCGTCTTCAATCTCTAGCTCCACTGGTTTAGAATTCAATGTCTTCAACCTCCACCACTTCCATTGCTTCAATGCAGGCCCATGGTTGCATCATCTGTCCTCATACACCAAACAACCTTGGTGTCATTTCCACCATGTTGCATGTCCTTTTTTACCTCATTTGATAGTTGAGGGGTAATATTAGTTTTTCACAAATCTCTTTTCCTCAGCGAACGAAGATTAAACAACCATTACATGTCGCAAATGTTTCCCTTTCCCTTTTCGTAAATTTGTTGAAACGAACAACAATATCCACTCTAATTCGTCTTCACATGTTCTCTTCAACATTGACATCTTTTTTTAAAGCAGCATAAATGTTATACAATACGAATCAACTAAATCAACCTGCATTTTCTTTTTACAACGGACCAACCGACTCACTTTTGATGAATGAAATGTAAAGCATACCAAAACACATAGTATTTGTACGGATGACTTACTAAAAAACAATTATCTATTAAACTTATTTTAGAGAGAGAAAAAAAGCTAGCTTTTAATACCCCATATTCTTTAGACTCTAAGATATGTAAGGCTAAAAAGATAATGAAACAAAAAATACTGAAAGAACTTGTTGACCACTAAAAAATAAAAACCTAACCATTAATCATCACGGTTCAAGTTCAAAATTTAAAATCTCCTTATTTCCCAGCTAAACCCCATTGTTAATGTATTAGTTCAAAGAGAATAGGAACTTAAAAAAAAAACCTTTAAGATTGAGGGCTCGAAATTTCTTTTACTCAATTTTTGGAAGAACTTTTCAAAGACAGAAGGAATGAAAGTTAGACTTGTGAAATTTGAAGAGAGAAGAATGAAGAAATGGAAAAAGAAAGACAGAGTGTCCTTTTCTTTTCTTTTTTTGTTGAAGGAATAATTAAAGATTTCTAGTAGCACCCCCTCAATTGTTTCTAAACTCACACCTTCACTCTCATTGTTTTTAGGGTGTTGCTCCCTCCATCCCCACACATCTCTTCCTCCACCTCCCCTTTACTATTTTGCCCCTTCCTCCACCTTTCCTTTACTATTTTGCCCCTTAGTAAAATTTTATTTTTAAAATTGTTGTTTTTTAATTTTATTCATTTATAACATATTTCACTGATAACCTACGTAGTTTCTTGTATGAGTAAAATATTTTTCTACAAAGCTTGGTGATCGTGAAAAGAATTATCAAACAATCTTCTTCTTGTTCTCGGTGCAGTACGTGGTGCAGTGCGTTTATGGTGTAGTGCCCTTGTCGTGGTTCCTCTCCAGGTACGTAGTCATAATCCTTCCAATAATCCTAAACCCTAAATCCTTCCCATACTTCCAATAATCCTTTTAATATCCAAGCCTATAATCCTTGCATGAGCCGCAAAACGTAGTAAAATAAAAACGAAACGTAAAAGGAACACTGCCTATGGATGGATGACATCCTTCAACGGATGTCAACATCCGTTTAAGGCAAAACGGATGTCGACATCCGTTTAAGGCAAAACGGATGTCGACATCCGTTTTGCCTTCAACGGATGTTGACATCCGTTGAAGGATGTCATCCGTCCAGAGGCAGTGTTCCTTTTACGTTTCGTTTTTATTTTATTTGTTTATTTTATTTACAGTAATTTATATTTAAATTTATAATTTTAAATGTTATATATGGTTAGTTTTTAAACGTAATAATTTTGTTAAAATATGAATTTGTTATAGGTGGAGAAGAAGCTTAACGGAAGAGAGAAAGGTAAACGAAAATGGAAGAGAGAAGAGGTGCAGAGGGAAGTAAATCAGAAGTTTTAAATAAATTAAAATATTAAAATAATAAAAATAAAAAATTTTAACTTTTGAGGATATAATTGTCATTTTAGAAGGATATAATTGGCATTTTAGAAAATTGGG